TGAAGAAAGCTTGGCGGCTATGGACGCCGCTGAGGACATCCAGGAAGCTATGGCGGCAATGCAAACCGCCCGGCGCACGTTGAAGGAGGCAAGGGCAAAGCAAAAGTTCGTGAGGCTTTCACGAAAGTACCACCAGAATTCTGGGGCATCACGAGGCCAGCGAGCCCAGCCCCCGACGACAGCAAGATGACAGATGACCTGCCTCAAGTGCGGCCGCATCGGGCATCGCGCGGCACACTGTCCAGACAAGAAGGACACGACCGAGCCGCAGCATGCTCCCTTTGTGTGCTTTCGTGACGTAGACATAGCCTGGGCCAACGGATCAAGCATGACGACAGACGAAGCCATCAGTGAAGGCATGGCTGTGATTGACGGAGGTGCAACCAAGACGCTGGGATCCATTGCTGCAGTGGAGAGCTTGATGGCGAAGAACCGCGAGCACCGAGGACATGATGCTGTTCGAGGCGTGGACCTGAGCAATCGTCCAGTGTTTTTCTTCGGAAACTCGAGCCGCAACCGATGTGCTTCGACTGCGCAGATGATGCTTGAAGCGGCCGGCAAGCCCGGCCATCTCCAGATTCACACGCTGGAGGAGGGAAAGGGGCCCATCCTCTTGTCTGTGGACACGCTTAGGACTTTTAAAGCCGTGATTGATTTTGAAAATGATGTTCTAGTGTTTCTGGCGCTGGATGACAGAAAGTTGATTCCAGTGACGCGCTCTGCGACCGGTCACCAGCTGATTCCTTTCTCGACAGATCTTTACGAGAATGCGTGGCAGGCCGAACGAGCCGTGCCAAGCCTTCTCTCATACCGAGGGGCAGAGGCAGCTGAGTAGGGACATCTCCTCTCGGCGACTGAACCTGACAGTCGCAGGGAGGACATTTTTGTTTCATCAGGAGGGGAAAGCAGGCAGATCAATCTTAATCCGTGCAGTGGGGATAATTACAGGGTTAAGGTTGGGATGAATCCAGAGTCTCCTGGGAAGTGTGCAACGCAAGCTGTGACAACTGCCGTGACCTCAAGCTAACAGCGACAACAGTGAGCGACTTCCCACCGCAGCGCGGCGAGATCATGGCCCTCAACAAGAAGACCAAGGCGGAGCTGCCCAAGATGCTGCTCGAGAACTTCGGCGAACATGCATATGCTCGCTGGACGAAAGCAGAGATAGTGACCCGCATCCGAGAACTTCAGGAAGCTCAGGGAATCGATCCGTGGGCGAAAGGGAAGACGCGCACCCCGTTGCGCGAGCAGGTGACACAGCTCAATCGCCACAAGAAGACCAAGGCGATGCTGACCGAGTATGTGGGCAACGAGCTGGGCATGATGCTGAACGGCAACGAGACCATGGAGCAGATCGAGTACAGAGCCATCCGGGAGATTTACCGGAGGGCCAACCCGTCCGGAGAGGCCCCGGTGGGATTCGGCCGACATGCCAGTCTCAGCTATGCGGAGATCCTACGCGAGCAGCCCGGCTACGTGGCGTGGGTGAAGAAGACGGCGATCGAGTCGAACGAGGCGGACCCGCGACTTCTGCGACTGGCTGCATGGTTGGAAAATCAGAAGAAGCCGGAGACCAAGGAGAAGGAGGTGCTCAAGCTGGTGGGTGCCAATCTACGCGAGTTGAAAGTGTACGTAGGAGCGGCTTGTGTGTTTCATGAGTGCATGAAGCTGGGATCCACTGCATGTCGGAACAAAATAACGCTTGGCGTCTTCCGTTGATTCAGCGACTTTGGAGTAAGTACCATCTTCATTCATCACCAGATCGGGGTATGTGAGCAAGCGGTTAAAGGGATGAAAGAAGTGATGACGAAACTGTGTGAACACAACCCTGATTTGTCAGCTGAGGAAGCACTTGCAGCCAGTCTCAACACGTTCAATTGCAGGGAAGTGATTCGAGGGTTCTCGCCCATGCAACACGTTATGGGACAAAACCCCGACTTGACTGACAGGTTTACGGCCACTGGAGATCAAGCAAAGCTGGGAACCTTGATAGAGAATCCCAGTGGGGAAATTCACCGATCAGCACAGTTGCGTGATGAAGCCGAGACAGCACAAAGGATTAAGTGAGCTATGAATTCCAGGACCAAGCCTGCTTGAGCCGGGTGAATTAATCTACTATTGGCGTAGCCAGGATTCCGAAAAGGGCCGACGCCAACCTGGAGGTAAACATGGCAGGTTCCAGGGACCCGCCAGAGTTTTAGCAGTGGAAACGCGCCGTGACGACCAAGCCCAGCTGAGGCCTGGCAGCGCAGTGTGGTGCGTCCGAGGACGCAGCTTGATCAAGTGTGCACCTGAACAGTTGAGAAGAGCCTCAGAGAGAGAAGAACTTGTAGAGAGTTTGACTGAGGGATCCAGGGCCACCCCATGGACTTTCACTAAGGTGGCAGAGGAGATTGGGGGAAACCAGTATCAGGACGCCTCATTGGATGTGCCGTCCATTGCTGAGTGGCAGCGAGCTCAGGATATTGAAGAAGAAGAGCCACCCGCAAAGGTGCGTATCCGGGGAAAGAGGCCAGGCCCAGATTTAGCCCGAGGCTCCCAGGACCCTGAACAGCTCCCACATAGGACAGTGACGAAGAACTTATTCCCGCTGAGCGACCCAGAGTGAGAGCGAGACCAAGTAGAGAACCCCGAGGGCCAGAACAGGCGGGACATTGGTGTGAGGATGTCAAGGGACATGCGTGGGACTGGAGCCCCGCGCTTATTGGCTGCAGCGCGACGCCGCTGTTGAAGTGGCCATTGAGTGGCCAGAGTCCCGACGGGCTCAGGAGCTCGCCATGAGGGACCTGAGTTCATTCTTCGTGGGAGCCTTGAAGAGGAGAGCCGCTGAGGTGAGTGAGAAACGCATGAGCGAAGAGGAGACAAAACTGTTTGCGGGAGCCAAAGCAGTTGAGGTTCGAAACTTTGTTGCTGCTAAAGCTTTTGAAGTTGTGGCTGAACACCAGTGTCCCAACAAGGAACAGGCGATGAATATGCGATGGATTCTGACATGGAAGTTGAAGGAGGACGGTACTAGCAAACCTAAAGCTAGGGCCTTGATCTTAGGATACCAAGACCCGAGCTATGAAAATAGGTCTACCACCTCCCCCGTCATGAACCGTCAAACCCGCCAGTACCTGTTGCAAATCGCGGCTAACAAGCGATGGTTGGTGTACAAAAAGGATGTGTCGGGAGCGTTCCTTCAAGGAAGGCCCTACCCCGAGGACTTGTATTGTATACCGTGCCCGGAAATATGCGAAGCAATGAACATTCCTCCGGGAACCGTCACGAAAATGAAAAGAGCGTGCTACGGGCAACGCCAAGGAGATGGAATTATTCTATCGAATGCGGCACAGATGGCGCATTGTGGAAGATCTTCAGATGAGGTTTGCAAGGCGTCGGAGGACAGCAGGGCTTGATCCGTTGAATCAGGACTCGGGGGGCTCTAGGATCGAGGGTGAAAGTGATATACTTAAGATTGATCTGCCGAATAGGGGCGGGGGGGGCATGCAAGCAAAGCTTGTGTTGCTGCTCTGCGACAGGTGATCGAGAGTCGCAAGTCTGACAGCTGACTGCCGCAGCTCGTACAGGCACCAGTGCAAAAAGGGGAGCTAGTTGTAGACACCGCGTGACCGTGGCATAGTGACTGCAGCACATCCTTTATTCTATCTATCCGGCTGCTGCGGGCGAAGGCGCTCGCAGGGTTGAGAAGGGGTTGGGCATTGGGGCCTAATAAAATCCTCGTAAAGTAGTAGTATTCACTGACAGGAAGCGCCAAGTGGGACACCGAGTGGGGCCGAGTAGGGCTGAGTGGGGCCGAGTAGGGTTGAGAAGGGGTTGGGCATGCATTGGGGCCTCATTAAATCCTTTTAAAGTAGAAGCATTCACTATCAGGACGCGCCAAGTGGGACAGAGTGGGGCCGAGTAGGGCCGAGTAGGTAGGGTTGAGAAGGGGTAGGGCATGCATTGGGGCCCAATCAAATCCTGTTAAAGTAGAAGTATTCACTGACAGGAAGCGTCAAGCGGGACAGAGTGGGGCCGGGTAGGATTGAGAAGGGGTTGGGCATGCATTGGGGCCTAATTAAATCCTCTTAAAGTAGAAGTATTCACTGACAGGTCTGTAAGAAGCGCGGGGTGCGAAGTGGGACCGAGTGGGGTTGAGTGGGGCCGGGTGGGGTTGAGGAGGGGTTGGGCATGCATTGGGGCCTAATCAAATACTCTCTAAAAGCATTCATTCCTGTAAGAAGCGCGGGGTGCGGAGTGGGACCGAGTGGGGCCGAGTGGGGGCTGAGTGGGGCCGAGTAGGGCCGAGCGGGGCCGAGTGGGGCTGAGTGGGGTTGAGTGGGGCTGAGTGGGGTTGAGTGGGGCCGGGTGGAGTTGAGGAGGGGTTGGGCGGGTAAGAAGCGCGAGGTGCGGAGTGGGACCGAATGGGGTTGAGTGGGGCCGGGTAGGGTTGAGTGGGGTGGCGTAGGGTTGCACCACGGCAAGTGGGACAGAGTAGTGCCGAGAGTTGGGCATGCATTGGGGCCCAATTAAATACTCTAAAAGTATTCATTCAATACGAGTGGGGTTGAGTGGGGCCGGGTGGGGTTGAGGAGGGGTTGGGCATGCTAAACGCCAAGTGGGACAGAGTAGGGCCGAGGGTTGGGCATGCCTTGGGGCCTACTAAATACTCTAAAAGTATTCATTCAATACGAGTGGGGTTGAGTGGGGTCGCGTGGGGTTGAGGAGGGGTTGGGCATGCTAAGGCAGAAGATCAGCTGCCGTACGGCAAAAGCAATTCTAACTTCTGTGCGCCGCCCCGCAGCCGCAGGGGTCGGCGGATACTAAGAGCACATCGTAAACAATAGAGTTGCCTTATGGCAGTAACGTAGGTCGCCAGGGTTTAGGGGCTGGTTAAGGGTTTAGGGGAGTGCAGGGTGTGCTCCCTCCCGAAACCCTAAACCCTAAACCAGGAACCTTAAGCCCTACCCGGAAGGTGGAAGTTCCTGTCACTTCTTGTCCGCCATGGCTGGCCGTATATGCTGGCTGCATGGGCAACCGGTACAGCGCTGTCATGCGTGGGCGTCCTCCTAGGAGTGCTTTGGGGACTAATTGGACCTTGCAAGCTTTAAGGCTTGAAGGATCACACCCTTCATGTTATAATCCTACTATTTAGGGCCCATTTAGTTTTGCAAGGTGTTGCCGATGATCTATGAATGGGAATTCCTTGACGGCGAGGTCATCTCCATGAGCTGCTGGGCTATCGTGGCAGGCGCTTTGTCGTCAAGCTGTGGATTGCTGCTCTTCCCTTACATCTGCGGTCCCTGCGGCGACCGCAGATGTTTTCTGGATTGCGCCTGCATCGATCAGACAGACCAGGCCAGGATGCAAGCAGGAATCCGCAGCATTGGCGGCTTCCTCCAGGCAGCTGAGGAGTTGCACGTGCTCTGGAGCGAGCCCTACCTCACGAGATTGTGGCGTGGTATATGTTAACCCCCCTCTGGTTGATGTGGTGCCTCACGGTGTCCACTAGGTCGCTGTGAAACCTGTGACGCAAGGCTGGCAGCTTAAGCTGCACACATTGCTCACAGGAAAAGGCATAGAAAAGATTCCCTCATACCTTATCATCACTGCATTGGGTTCCTATCACGGGCAGGCTCACTCATGCCTCATCATTAGATGAGCTTTGAGTGTCCCGCTCAACCCTTGCCCTTCACGCATGGGCCTTTGGATGAAGATGCGGCAGACTTGCCTTTGCCCTCCTTGTCAGCTTGTCGCTGCTTCCGTTCCTTACTTCGTTGTGGCGATGAACTGTCTTCAGGATCGCCACCCCGGGACGCCCCTTCCCTGTAATTGCTGGCGCGGTTCAGAGGAGTCCGAATTATCTGGTGGAGATGTTTTTTGTTTTCGTTGTTGTTTGTTCTTTGTTCTTGTTGTTTTCTACGAGTTGATCCTGCTTTCCCGTTCTACCTGCTGCTTTTTGCTTGCTTGTAGCTTTCTGTTGCTTGTGCTTTTGCTTTCTCTGGTTCCTCCACTCATCCGCTGTGATTGCTTATGTTTTTGTGTTTTCCGCTTCTCTGCTTCTACGCTTTGCCGCTTTGCTCTTATGCTCCGCCGCTTTTCTGTTTGTCCGCTCTTCTTGTGGTTGCTTTCCGCGTGTTTGTTTTTTGCTGTTCCTTGTTTCGTTGTTTCCGCGTTTCTGCTTCTTTGCTTTTCCGCTTACCTGCGTTTATGCTAATAGTAGTGATAGCAATACAAGATGGGAATATTTCTAACAGTATGGGTGGATGGATGGATGGATAGCGGCTGGGGTGTGACAGTCACGGGTAAGGCGTCATCCCTCCTGCCTTCACAGCCCCTCCGCAAGCCTCATCGGGCGTGTTTAAGATATGTGATGACTCGGAATCGCCAAATGAGTCGCCACATGAGGGGGCGTGTTGAAGATACATGATGAACCGGAATCGCCAAATGAGGTGGCGTGATGCAGACATAATCGCCAAGTGAACAATCGCCAAATGAGAGCGTGTTTAAGCATATGATGAACCGGAATCGCCACATGAGGGGGCGCGTTTAAGCTGTATGATGAACCGGAATCGCCAAATGAGGGGGCATGGTTAAGAAAGATGAAGCGGAATCGCCAATCGAGGGGGCGAGTGGAAGATATATTTATTTTTGTCTGTCTTTCTTTGTTTCTTTCCTTCTCTTATTCCTTAGCACGGTTCATATGTTTTGGTCTTCCCCACGAAGGTGATTAGCCAATTTCAAGCGACGCTCTAGCACGTGACCCTGCATGCTAGGTTCGTCCTAGCCAGGCGGGAGCATTTTTGCTTGCTCGCTTGCTTGCTTGCTTGTTTTTGATTCCTTCTCTTTGCCTCTCTCGCACTCCCCTCCCTCCTTCCCTCCCAATCCAGTAGCTGTTGGGGCTGTTGAGACGCGACGAAAGCACGAGGAGCCAAAAGTGACGACAATTCCAAGGATGTTGAGAGCTTTGGGCTGCGGCGGGGTGGGGGGGGGGTACCATACCGTGGGGTTTACGATCCCCAGGATCGGGAACCTGTATTCGACTATCATGGCTTCAGGTCCCAAATTCACTATAGTCTGAATGGTTCTTTGGGCAATAAAACCCGCAATGTTTGAGTCCTTGGACCCTTAGGCTTCCCAACCATAAGGCAGGGAATGTGTTATCGATGTTGCAAGAAAGGTGGTGTGTCTTCGAGCTCGCGGCATATCAGAAGCTGAAGCCTTCTGGAAGAATCACCATCGCACCCGTCTTCGTGGAAGTCATTGTGTGCCTGCTTTTCGTGTACCTACATGTTGCTTCCTGGTTTTTCGTTGCTATTAGGACGAGCGCGCTCGGCCGAACCACATGGATATGGATTGCGCTAGCTTGCTTCGGTGGCTCCCTATTTCCACTAGTACATGCCTTGAGGCATATCTGTACGTATAAGCAAGTTCTCTTGTCCAACGTGGGCAACTTCCAGTTCGACACTTTGGCCTGCGCCAATGAATCCGACCGAGAGGTTATCCGGGAAGCTATAGTTCGGTGGTACCTAGACCCTACAATGTAGTTCTTTTTTTTGGGGGTTGAGGTTTAAGACCCAAAAATATACATGTTGGAAACCTAGAAAGGAATTACAGTATGGCACATACAGGTATGGCAGCGTGGAGGCTTTTTCGGAGTTTGTGCGAAGCTCATTCGGGAACGTGGTACATGACTCCGTCAAGACTCCAGGAGCTGGGTTTAGCTTTAGAGTTTAGGGCTTCGGCTTCGAGTGTAGGATTTAGTTCTAGAGTGTTAGAGTTTAGGATGTACTTGAGGTTTAGGGTTTAGGTTGGATACTGCCCTCCCACCCACCGTTAACAGTCCAGTTTAGGGTTTTGATGAAGCTCGGAGGCTTCAGGTGAATTGGAATCTGCCATCAATCAAGCGCGGGCGCACAGTCACTACTTTTACACCACAAACGACAGGTCTGAGCAACATGGTTTGTACACAGGTTCGTTGCTCTGTTTCCCTATCGGACTGCTGTAATGCCAAACGGCATGCTGCTGTACATGCTGGCACAAGGGCTTTACCGTAGCTTCCCTTGAGTCCCAAAGGTGGCGCACAGAAAAACATCACACATCTTCACATGGCTCACCACTGACGCAGCTTCTGTACTTTACCACTCCGCCTCTGTTCCTCCGCCAGGGGAGAGCAGCTCACTTAATAGCTGGTCCAGTGGTGAATGGTGCGGGAGATGGTTTCCCGATCGCAGATATGATTCCACGTCATAAGGATTTTCCCCTGGAAGTTTCTCTGTCGCCATAGCCACAAAATGTAGCGATACTGCTTTGCCGTTGGAGAGGTTGGTCGATCCTTGTTTGCTGTCGTATGCGATCCGAGTCTTTCTGTCAGATCACCTTTTAGTCCTGACACTTGTAAGCCCAACAAACGTAGTGCTTCTCGTAGCTCTTCACATCTCATCAATGTGACCACATCAACACATATTCGCTGGAACTCTCCATTAGCTTCGAAAACCCGGTCCTGCGGAGATCGCTGGAGCTGAGAGTGTTCTGTATGCGGTCTTTGGAATGTCCTCGGAGACGGTGTTCTCTGAGCTGGCCTTGGTTGTGTAGGCGAGTGCGACCATGGCTGCTGTGGGGTAGTAGGTGTCCGCATATATGCCCTTGGTTGCGTAGGGGAAAGCGACCTTGGTTGCATCGAGGTAGTAGGATTCCGCGTAGACGACCTTGGTTGCGTAGGGGAAACCGACCTTGGTTGTCGTGGGGTAGTAGGATTTCCTGTAGACCCTCCTCCCAAGGATCTCGCCGAGGACGTAGTCGAATCCACCATCGCCGCCCCACGTAGCTTGGAATGGGGCTGTCCTTCCAGCCTCGTGATTTCCCGCTCGATCGCCAAAGATGTTGTGTCCCTCAACTTCTGTAGTCGACGCAGCTTCCTCTGTGATGCACCCGGTAGCCACTCTTGATACACCTGCGTACATAGCCACTTGATAGCTTCCCACACCACTACACATCCCAGCAAGAACAAGAGCATTATACATAGCCCCAGTAGATCACCATCCACCTGTACCGTTGACATTGACGACGGGCTTGAGGCTTCCACTGTCAACATCATCATACAGCACAAGAGAGCCATCATAGTCCTCACCTTCTGGTCATTTACGGCCATCGCTCCTCCTGGGCCAGACGACTGCCCAGGCTCATCAACGCCCCAGAGCTCCAGCAGCGACTTTATGCGCTGTGACGGCAGCGCCTTTGTCAACAGGTCCGCCGGCTGGGTCAATCCCGGCTGGTGGCGAACGACCAAGGCTCCCGACTGGAGCATTTCTTGAATCCAAGCCGCCTTCAGCCGGAGATGACGGGTACGCCATGATCCGGTGCCAGAACTTATACACAATGCACTTGTGCTATCACTCGCAATCGTTTTCGTCATCGGCCCAGCATTGTGATGTCGCAGAGCATCGCTTCCACTCCCATCATCCCAACTGAACCCTCAAGTATCGCTAAGAGTTCACTTTCAGCGGTACTAAGCGCCACTGTTGCTTGGCGCCCGCTGCGCCAACTGATAGCTGTGCCTCCCCAACAGATCAACCAGCCTGTATGCGATCGGCCACTTCCCGGCGCAAACGCTGCATCAGGGAAGAGAACGAGGTCGGTGTTGTCGCACTGAATTTTCATTCTCATTTCCTTGGTGGCTTGAAGATATCGTAGAGCTTTGGCCCCGATTGACACACATCTCGAAGGAGCCTTTGTAGTCAATGAGGATAGCAGGGAGCACGTGAATGACAAATCGGGTCTAGATTTCTGCGCGACCCACATCAATTCCCCCGTCACCTCTTGCGCTGCAGCCACTGCCTCCGGAGTTGGAGGCAGGTCTCCAGGCTGGATGTCGAAGTCGGCCAGCTCCTTCGACAGCGGGATCTTGTCTCGCTCCGAAGAACCCACCTTGTAGGCACGCAGGATCTCCTCTATGTAGGCCTTCTGGCTGATATAAATTGACTGTTCGTCCTCACTGATTTCAATTTCCATCCCCAAAAACCTCACCGGTGTGGTTGGTGTCAAAAACAGAAGCGGCGACGTCTTCCACAGGCTTTGAATCTTCTGGGCTATCTCTTGTATCACCTCCCTTGGTCCCAACAACATAACATCGTCGACGTAGATGATGATGATGCCCACTGTCTCGCCCCGCTGTCCTTGACGCAGCGACCACGTCGAGAATAGCTATCGCCCACCGTCGCTTCCGCGAAGTTGTCAGCCCCGCTCGCAGCACCTCAGTGGGCGGCGTTTCCGCATAGCAATCAAAGTCGTCGCCCTCCGCGAAGTTCCCGCACACCACCAACCTTGCTTTTCGCTTGAACCATGTGCTTCTGTCTGATTCCGCTGGATTGTCCCCTGGTTTCACCGTGAAGACGAATTTGGTCGGTAGGCGCTGTGCCCTAGGGCGCTTCAGCCACGCGGCTCTCTCTGGAGAGCCTGGCTGTAGACGACAAATAGCTGACTCGACATTGTTGACTTCCTTCACTATGGCATCCTTCCATTTATGAAGGCATTCCATTGCCTCCCGAGGGTCCACTGTGTATGTAACTTGTAGGGGCTGCTCCAATTGCTACAAGATCTTTTCTATGCCACGTGTATAGGCCACCTCCACTTTTGCCACGAATGGATCATGCGGATCTTCTGGTCGATGTGGTTCCTGTGCTCCCAACAGAACTTCTCCATCAGGGACTTCTAGAAACATTTCCCACTGAGTTTCGTCCTTGGGTCCCACAATAGTGTCTCCCGGCTCCTCCTCAACGTCACCATCATCTATATCTGTAGGGACTGGCCCCAAGGATTGCAGTTTCGGGGCCTCGGTGAGGAAGTATTCCGGTAACTGCGTCAGCGGTAAATGAAAACCCATTGCCTCAAGCTTGCGAGCAATGTCGTAGTCAATCTTTCCCAGGCATTGAGGAGTATACGCAATAAGCATCACTCTCTGACCTTCCCACGGAAGAACTTCATGAGCCTTCCTGGGAGAAAACTCATTGCACTTCCCCTTTTCCAGGGGTAGAACTTGTCCATAGCGGGGCCGACCACGGTCATCTTTTCGCTCAAGAATCGGTCCACGAAGAACATCACCTGGTGATAGCTCAATCCATAGGTTTCCCCCTTTACTTGGCATGCTCAGAGGGATTGCGTAGTTGAGCGATTCTTCATCGTTGTTGGTGTCCTTGTGGAGGCCCCTCTCTGTATCCTTGGAAACCCATATTGAGGTAAACGTTGCCTCTGGATTGACCTCCAAGACCATTGTTGCTAGTAGCTGCGCCAACGAGGGAGAGTCTATACTTCCACCTAGCCACCCCACTTGACCTCCATGCCGGAACACACCAAACTTTCGGTCCTTGAAGAAATCCACAGAAGCCAGCTCCAACACAAACTCCTCTGCCTCCTCGCCGCTCCAGGATTCAAGTAGCTCCTTTGATCGCTTCTCCACATAATCGAGAAAGGCCGCATCACCAACCTTCGCCGCCTTCATCTCGATGTTATCTGGTGAAGCCTTTTCTGCAACTCGTCGCCTCGGACGGGGTGGTTCATTTGCATGTAGCACAACTTCTGGTGGTCCGGGGTCTATAAGTCGAGGCCGAACATGGCACGTGTGAAAGAATCTCTCTGTATCCTCACCGTCCTTCGGCAGGTAGATCACGTGGCCTCCCTCAAGAATGGAGCTCAATCCCATGTAATGTCCTTTGAACCATCGAGATTCAAACGCTCTTTCTCTGCGCCTTGGGCCAGACGAGTCGAACGCCTTTTCCTTGATGTGAACTATCGCCCCAAATGGGGCTTTCAAGGCTGACCTCCAGCCAAGGACCCGAGAACGCTGAGCTGCAGCTGCCGCCTCTGCAGCCTGTGGCCACAATGCCACCGGAAGTCGCGAGCCTATCAACAGGGCTCCTTGCTCGGTCTTTGACCCATCTCACGGCTGACTCTGCGCCTCCGTTCGACTGGGGAACCCCTGCTTCCGACCATGTAGCTCTAACCCCACGATCTCGTAGCCACGTCCTTGTACTATTGTTGAAGGTCTCCCCCTTATCTGCATGCAGGCGATAGACCGGTAGCCCATGAGCCTCGAGGTACAAGAATATGTCTTGGATAACGGCCTTCACGGTAGAAGCGAGGTTGTTCTTCATGCCACGAGCAAACAACAAAGATGTCATCTTTGGCGCTTCAGACTCCTCAAAGGGAACTGCTCCGTGGTTTGCCGCATCGTCCTCATCCTCCGAGGGGTTGAAAGCATCCGGGTCCACATCTCGTAATAGATCACGCTGAATGGACGAACTTCCCACAAACTCCCTGACCCTGTTATCGACCACCTCCTCCTCTTCATCCGTTTCTTGTGGTAGTAGATCAGGTAGCTCCGGCTCATCATCCCGCTCAAGGAAAGGATCTTCAGGTTTGGAAGACGGTGAACACGGATTCGCGCCCTCCTCGTCCAACACACCAGCCTCTGCACTGAGCTCTTCTTTCAGTCCATCATCTTCTGGTGGCTGGGTTCCACAATAGGCC